GGAGAGCTTTTGTCTGTCTCCAGCTCATTTGTCTCAGTTACTCTTTTCTGTTTTTGGACATGATTTGAGATCTTTTGTTGTGTTTTATTGGTCATTTCCAGTAGTAATGTGTTTTTTTTCAATGCTTAAATGGATGTTTGTTGTTATGTTATTAAGCTTGTTGGGTGTCTCCTGGTGGATATGATGAGGAGATAGGCTTCCTGAGAAGTCCCTCCCCCATGGAGCCTGTCCTCCCTGACTCTGCCTCAGATGCCACCAGAAGCCTAAAGTATTTATTCTTAAGTAGTGATATCGAAAATTATTTTTTTTTAGGGAAAAAAAAAAGGGGGGGGGATGCAGGGACTTCAAAAATGGAATTAAAAGATAATGCAATTTTCCCAACAACTTTTTAAAGCTCCCTTTGACAGTTGAACCTTGAATAATGAAGGGGGCTTAGTAGGGGGTTAACGGTACTGAACACAAAAGTCAAAAATCCATATATAATTTACAGTTGACTCTTGAATATCACAAGTTTGAACTTTGTGAGACCACTTAACAGAGATTTGTTTCCTGTTGCTACTACTAAGGTGAGCTCAAATGTTGCAAAGATCCTCTTTAAACACCAGTGTGATGGTAATCACACATATGGAAAAATGAATTGTCCACATGAGGATGGTTAGCATCACGTGGCAGCCTTAAGGCGGAATGCTATCCTGGGAGTTTAAAGCTTCCTGAAAACATAAAGGCACAAGTGAAGTATACAGAATTGGAATACGTTAAACATTGATTTCTCCTCTAGGAAAAATGTCCTTAATACAGCCCCTTATGTTAGAGAGGCAAAGGAATCTCTTCCCTCCTCACCTATGATATAAGCCACTAGTGCCAGAAACCAAAATTGTGCCCATCAGCAACGCACTATATTGTAGGTTCAATAGGTTTTTGTGGGCATAACTGGAATTGTAATCACCATGCCTAATACATTTCTGTGGTAAAATGTTTTCCAAGCAAATGGAGGCCTGATCTGCAGGGCAGGAAACAGATCTGTGGGACTATTGGGCCTGCTTGCTGAGACCCAATTGAGAAAGGGTTATAAGATACATGACTAAAGTGGAATTAAATTGTCCCTTTGACAAGTTTATTTAGCTGGGCCAGCAGGAGAAAGAACAGATCCTTCAAGAACAGAATCACATGCAGAACAAACGCCCAGTGAAAGAATATTGCTAAAGAGTTATGGAAATGTTTCCAAGAAATGATATTTAGCAGTACAAATTTAGTTTTACTTACTGTTCTATTTGGACATTAACTGATTCCATCCACCACATATGTACATGTTTCTCACTCTGTTGATATGGCCGCATTGCTAGCCAACTAGGGCATTGGACCACAGTGCCAGTTTGAGCCACAAGGTCACTGCTTCAAACTCACCAGCCATTCCTTGGAAACCCATTACAGGGTCGCTTTGAGTCAGAACCGACACTATGGCACTTAACAACAACAATAGAGTAAATGAAGCTTTCACTGGAAATGACTGTGCAGCTCAAGTGATTTGGGCTAAAACAGTCACTGGGATGGGCATATGCCAAAGACATATGTAAGGATAAAATAGAGGAAGGACATCAGGGGCCTTTCTCTTAGTGGGCAGAAGCTAAAAGAAGGGCCAAGACGACTGGTCATTGAGTGTCAGGACAGATGAGAAAGACAGTGGCAGGAGGGAAAGCATGTGTTATCATCACAAGTCAAAGACTGGATGAACTAACTGAACTAACACCCCCACTTCACAGCCCAATATTCAGATCTACCAAAAAAAAAACAAAACAAAAAAAGCTTAAAAATGAACTTGAAACAAAATGATACTATCAACTAACTTTTGGTTGGGAAATACTTACATTGTATAAGTTCCAGCCTGTCCCAAGAAAACTTGTTTTCACCAGCTCTGTCCCTCTTGTCATGTAGCAATTCTGCTGTCAAGAACTTTTAAAAACTGAGTCACCAAATTGGGACCTGAAGGCTCAAAGCATATTCTCCATCATAAAGACAGATTCTTATAAGTGAAATGTTGCTATTGTTGTTAAGTGCCTTTGAGTCAGATCTGATGCACAGCAATCCTATATAGGGTTTCCAAGGAGTGGCTGGTGAGTTTGAACCACTGACCTTGTAGTTTAAAATGGAAATAAGTGTCTTTAATCCACTTGTTAACTGAAAACAACATTACCTGCTGAAGGCTGACCTCTGTTGACCTTCGCTTTCTTAGGCGTCACCTTTTCAGGTGGCTCTTCTGAGGCCAGAGTCACTGGTGCAGTCGTTTTTTGGCCACTTGGAACATTAGGGAAAAGTTTCTTCAGCACTTTTTCAACAAACACTATACAGGTAATACATGAACAAAAGGAAAGAAAAGAAAGAAAGAATTCATGGATGTTTTATTTAAACAATACTGGCTTCATATATAAAACAAAAACATATCCTAACATTACCGACTTTAGAGTAAAGCGACTGGGGCCATGCCCAGAGTACTGTGAATCAGAGGGTCCTACCCTGACTTACTTCAGGCTAAACCTCTTCCTGTATGAGACAAGCAATCTGGAAATTCCACATGTCTGTCACAAGAAACAGGGAGCCAGCAGTGGGATCAGAAGGGGGCAGATCTGCATTGTAATGAAGATGAGCTTAGTGGTGGTGGTGGTGGTGGTTATGTGTCATAGAGTCAGTTTCAACTCACAGGGACCATGTATCATTTCTGAGGCTATAAATCTTTTTAGGAGCAAAAAGCCTCATCTTTCTCCTGCAAAGGACCTGGTAAGATTCAAACTTTTGACCTTGTGGTTAGCAGCCCAACTTGTAAGAAACTACACTACCAGAGCTCCTTGAAGATGAGCTTAGTGGTGGTCATGATGGGCCGTCAAGTAGGTTTCCACTCATAACAACCCTGCATATGATAACCAAGGAAAGTCTCATTTTTCTTCAGTGGAGCACCTGGGGGACTCAAACTGCTTACCATTTTGGCTAGTAGCACAATGCATAACCATGATGCTACCAGGGCTCCTTGATGATGAGCTTAGATATGTGTATTTTTGCTTTTGTGTGTGTGTGTGTGATTTGGTGTTCCTTCTAAATGTTTTTTATCGCTTACTAAATTTCTATGTAAAATAAAGGCTGTGAATCAATTTCACACTTTTGGGTTTGAAGTCTTAGGTACTTACTAAATGTACTCCTAGAAAAGAAAGGTCAAAGCTGCAGTTCCCATAGAGTATTTTAAACACAAGCATAAGAAAGTAGTTATCATTGGAAAGACAAAAATCTAAGGGAGATGACCAAAGTACATGCATTCTGTTACCAACAACCCTAGTAAAGAGTTTCATCTTATCTCTTTCCAGTTTAAACTGAGCTAGCTAGCAACTCTAATTAAGGAAACAATTCTAGTGTAGCTAAAATGGTTTTAACAAGTACGTGGAACTTTTTCACTTTGTTTATATTCTGTTTTAACTGGAGAAAAAAAAAAGTTGTCAAAATGAATAAAAGTTGCCATCCCAATTTAAGTGTAGTTAATAGACAGGTACTAAATGGATCTTGGCTAAAAGCAGAGAATATCAGGAAGATGTTTACCTGTGCTTTATTGACTATGCAAAGGTTTTTGATTGTGTAGCTCATGACAAGCTATGGACAACATTGTGAAGTATGAGTATTCCTGAACAGTGCTCATGAGGAATCTGTACATGGACCAAGAGGCAGGTGTTCAAAAAGAACATGAAAACACTGAATGGTTTAAAATTAAGAAAGGTGTGCAACAGGGTTATATTCTTTCACCATACTTACTCAACCTGTATGCTGAGCAAATAATCTGAGAATCAGGGTTATATGAAGAAAAACATGGCATCAGAATTGGAGGACGATTCATTAACAACCTGCGACAGGCAGATGATATAACCTTGATTGCTGAAAATGAAGAGAACTTAAAGTATTTACTGATGAAGATCAAAGACTACAGCCTTAAGTATGGATTGCATGTGAAAAAAAAAAAAGCAAAAATCCTCACCACTGGACCAAAAAACAACATCCTTATCAATGGAGAAAAGAATAAAGTTGTCAAGGACTTCATTCTTCTTGGATCAACTGTCAACATTCATGGAAGCATCAGTCAAGAAATCAGATGACATATTGCATTAGGTAATCTGCTGCACAAGACCTTTTTAAAGTGTCGAAGAGCAAAGATGTCAGCTTGAGGACTAAGGTGCGCCTGACCCAAACCATGGTATTTTCAAAAACCTCATGAGCATGCGAAAGGTGGACAGTGAATAACAAAGACTGTAGAAGAATTGATGCTTTTGAGTTATGGTGTTGGAGGAGAATATTGAAAGTGCCATGGGATGCCAAAAGAACAAACAGATCTGTGTTGGAAGAAGTTCAGCCAGAGTGCTCCCTGGAGGCCAAGATGGCCAACTTCATCTCTCATACTTTGGACATATTGTCAGGAGGGACCAGTCACTGGAGAAGGGTATCATGTTTGGTAAGGTGGAGGGTCAGAAAAAAAGCGGAAGACCCCCAGCGAGATGGATTGGCAACATGACAGCATCAGTGGGCTCAAGCATGGCAACAATTGTGATGTTGGCCCAGGACCGGGCATTGTTTTGTTTTATTGTACATAGTGTTGCTATGAGTCGGTACTGACTCAATGGCACCTAACAACAACAACTGCTGTAGGACCAGCACTGGACTATGAACCACAAGGTTGGCAATTCAAACCCACCAGCTGCTCCTCAGAAACCTTACACCGTGTCACTATGAGTCAGAACCAACTAGACAACACTTACAACATCAGTAACTACTATCTGAAAATAGTGTGTTAGAAAAGGTGAGTGCAAAAGGATAATAAGATGAATTCGTATTAACCTTGTTAAACATAGAAGTGATTTTGGAGTAATCAAAAGAATGCTTAAAGAAAGGAAGACAGAAGAAGAAATTATTCATTTTAATTATGATGTTGTTCAAGAATACTGAATATGCCAGGACTGCCTGAAGAACAAATTATTAGTCTTGGAAGAAGTAAAGACAGAATACACCTTAGAATCAAAGAATGGCAAGACTTTGTCTCACATACATTAGACATGTTATCACAGGGAACAAACTCTACAGAAAGACAATATTCCTGGTAAAGTAGAAGTCAGAGAAAAAGAGGAAGATTCTCAATGAATGTATTCACATAGTAGCTGTAGCAACAGGCTCAAACGCATCAACAATTGTGAAGATGGTACAAAACTGAGCAGTGTTTCTCTCTGTTGTGCATAGGGGGGCTACAAGTCAGAACTAACTCCATGGCAATACTAACAACAACAAAAAGAAAGACTGCACAATGGAAAATATACATTAAGACACAATTAAAGATATGTAATAACTTATAACATGAAATCTGAATAGATAAACTGAGATTGGCTTATGAATTAAGTCAGCAAGATTAGTTAGCCCTACATGGGAACACTAAATATAAAGCAAAGATCAGTCTTAATTTCATCAAATTTTCAGAAAATGTATATATTTAAATAGTATCCTTTCAATGCATTCTACATGTAAAGAACACAATTTGGATTTTAAGAAAAAGGTTCCTGATGCTAAACAAAGTTTCTGGTAATCTTTTCAGATAACTTAATGAAATCTACATTGTTTAGTACGGAGAATGAGTTGAGCACATCTACTATTTATAGAATGGCACATACAATGAATCTCTGCAATCCAATAAGTCCCAGTGGATAAGAAGGCACCTTTCAATGGGAGAAATCAACAACAATAACAAATGTCTGGTTAAATGGAAAATGCTAACTGAAATAACATTATCCTTTAAGACTACAAAATAAGGAAGTTCCTGGCAATAAAAGGAGCCCAGGTAGTGCAGTAGTTTAAGCACTGTGCTGCTAACCAGAAAGTCAATGGCTCAAACACACCAGCCACACTGTATGTCTGCTTCTGTAAAGACTTACTGCTTCAATATCCCAGTGGAACTTTTCTATTCTGTCTTATAGGATCTCTATGAGTTGGAATCAACTTGGCAACAGTGGGTTTGGCCATAAAATATTCCCTGTACACTTATATTTTTTGTCTATTTTATAAAAACCTACCTGAGCATTGGATCTTGTACAAAGTATGTTTTCAGTGCAAGTTTGTTGGGGTGAGACATTTATAAAAGTCCTATAAAAAGGATTGACGTTTTCTCTGCCTTTGCAATAACTATTGAAAACAATACATGCTATATACCTAAGAGTAATCATTTGATCTCAGTAGAATACCGTCAGTCTTTTAGGAAAAGACAGGTATTTTAATGTTTAAATGAATGCACTCCTATGCTCATACATATACTCAGAAAGATGATTCTAAAATTTCAAAGCCCAACTAAATTCTTGGACATGTTTTTTTCACAAAGCAATTAAGAAAATGCTCTATTTTAGGTGATTACTGTGGATGCACCTGAGTATGTTGTTGTTGTTATGTGCCATAGAGTCGGTTCGGACCCATAGCGACCCTGTATAGGGTTTCCGAGGGTGTAAATCTTTACAGGAGTAGAAAGCCTCATCTTTCTCCTGCGGAGCAGCTGGTAGTTTCGAACTGCTGACCTTAAGGTTCGCAGCCCGATTCGTAACCACTACGCTACCAGAACTCCTGAGTATAGTAGCCCAGAAAAGAACCTGGATTTCCCAGACAGAAGGTGAGATTTCTACCACTGAACCAGCACTGCTTCCCAATTCTGGTTTCCACAGTCGCTAGTTGTTGTCAAGTTGATTCCAACTCCAGGGGACTTTGTGTGTGCAGAGTAGAACTGTCCATAAGGTTTTCAAAGCTGTGACTTTTCGGAAGTAGAATGCCAGGCATGTCTTTGGATATACTTCTGGGTGGGTTCAAACTGCCACCCATTTGGCTAGTTGCTGAGTACTTAACTATTTGTATCACCCAAGGATTCTCCATCATCCTATGTGTTGTAAAATCTACATATGCAAAATAAATCATTTCCCTACAAGCCAATACACTTCTTGAAGACATCTCTGGCATCAAATCACCTGCAAATATGGAACACTGGTGGCACCTTAAGTTAGGTGGTGCTGGACTGCTAACCACTCAGTTAACAGTACAAACTAACTGGCCACTCAATGAGAGAAGATGAGGTTGTCTGCTTCTATAAAGATTTACAATCTTGGAAACCCTATGAAAAGTCAAAATGGGTAGGAATTGATTCAATGGTAGTGGATTAGGTTTTGGGTTTTGGTTACATAAATGTTTACCAAATGAATGAGTTCAAAAGTTCCTTCCTATGTATGTTATACAAATCTTATAAATAACACTACAGAAAAATGAGCACTTGATACACAATTATCCTTTTGACAGGAGCTAAGAAATGACTTTGATATTAAATATTAGCAATGTTCATTTTATGTCGTATTATCCATGATCCATTAATTATATTTATAAAGTATATTATAAAAAGACACAAGGACAGATTATCTTGAACAGATGTCATAATTGATATCCTGTTTGAAAGTGGGAGTTTCTATCTTCAATAGGAATTTCAATTAATAAATTTTAACCCAATTTAAATGAAATATCTAGACATTAAAAATAAAATAATTTTGCTGACACATATCATGTCTAATGCTGTCAGTTACATAATTTAAGGCATAGCCTTAAAAATAATAAAAGTTTGAGAAGAGCAAAACTTAAAAAGAAAACATAAAACATCAATTATTAATTTTTTTAGTAAAGTTTATTTTTACAGCACTGTTAGATTTATAGAAAAATTAAGATAATACAAGTTCCTGTATGCATCTCCCAGTTTATCCTATTATTACTATCTTAGATTATTTGTAATTATTATTTTAAATGTTAGTTACATTTGTTATAAACTATAAACTAATATTGATACATTATTGTAAACTAAAGTCCATGTTGTGGCACTATAGGATAAGCACTGGACTGCCAACCACAAGGTCAGCAGTTGAAACCCACCAGTAACTCTTAGAAAACCCTATGCTTTTGCCAGGAGTTGGAA